ACACACACACACACACACACACGCCTGCATGCCTGAGCAGATGCATACACAGAGCAGGTGCACTTGTGTGTACACACATGAACATCACTCACACAACAATCCTCTGGGTCTGCTCAGAAAGGTTGGGGAGGCCCTTGCTCCTGCTACTCCCCTGCCCACAGCCTTTCCCAGCAGAGACCTACTTGCTCCACGTGAATTAGCTCTGCCGGGAGGAGCCTCTTTGCCCAGGAGCTGCGCTCACACATCATGTGATCCGGCCCCAACTGCATCCTTTTCCGGTCTGGCTTCACTTCCACATTCTCAGTAATGGCACCCTTTCCCTCCTCGGAACCAGGAGCTCCCGGGCTTTCTCCAACATCTCTCCCTCTCCATGGCTTGGGGAGTCTGTCCAAGGTCTAAATTCTGAGACTTTCTGTGTCCCTTGGTATCTAATCTTCTGAAACTAAAACCCAGGGAAGCCCCCCCTGCCCCTTGTTTCTTAGTTGTCCCTAGAGAAGGGGGGATGCGAGTGGTAGCAGGGAAGGGCCAAGGGACAGAAAGAAGATAGGAACTAGCAGCCACCTGAAAATAGGTCCATACTGTGTCCCCCTAGCTCATACACTCTGCTCAGGGTGGGGGGTGGCTTGGTGCAATCCTGTCTCTGCACATGAATAACTGAGCTCCCACTGCCCAGTGCAACCAAGCATGGGGGATGCAAGGCAGGGATGCCCTGAATTCAGGGGGATAAAGCAAAGGCCCTGGGGGTGGGAGGAGGTTAGACAGCCCAGTGGGGCGGCTGCCAAGGTAGGTGTGCCATTGGGTTGATCTCTGAAGGATGCCTTGTGGAGAGAAATGGTGGAGTCACAGGTAGAACTTCTGCAGGCTGAGCCTGGGATCCTGCAGAAAGAAACTTAATCCCAAGGGACCTGATGGTGGCAGGGCCACCTGATCAGCTGATCACACAGATCCATGATGCAGGAACAGGGGGCTGGCCTGAAAATGTTTCCTCTTTTCAATGGAGAAATGAAAGCTCAGAGGGGTGACAAGACCAGTGTTGCAGAATGTGTCATCTGAGGAGTCAGATTAGAACCATGTTCTCATCTCTCAGCCTGGAGCCTCATTCATGCCTTTTCTTACATATTTCTCTTCCACAGCTGGGGCCCCTGTGAATCTCAAGGATGGGCTTTCTAATTCTAGACTGTTTTTGTCTTTTAGCCTCTGGGGTATCTCCAGAGCAGGTAAGAGAGTTCCCAAGGGAGGACCTGAGAGACCAGGCAGCTCCTCCCCTGCCTTCCTCCTTTCCATCTTCCAGAAGGTCCAAAAGAGTCAGACAAGCCACGTCCAAGTGCCCCCACACTCTTGGTCCCCTGCGGGGCCTGGGAGGATGGGGGGCCTGGAAACAGCCTGGGGGAACATGGATGGGGAGCCTGAGAAGTAGGGTGTGGAGGGCCTGGGAGGAGGCTGGCGAACCTTTGCAGAAGAAGACCCTGTGCCCACACTCGGGTCTCGTGACGCCCCAGCCTGTGTTCCCTGTCCCAGGCTCTGCAGCCCCTGGAGGGTGAAATCTGCTACGCAAACCTGACCCTGCAGCAGAATGGAGCCTCCTCCAACTTCTCCCGGAAAAAGGCCTCTGTGAAGCCCCCCTCCGCTTCCCAGGTGGAAGTGGAATATGTCACTATGGTGAGCCTTTTGTTGGGGCTGAGTGATGCCAGGGTGGGGGCCATCCTTGGAGGATGGGCTTTCTCCTGCTCTCATGGGCACAGCGAGGTGGCCTCAGGGACCAGTCAACCATGGTCCTCGTGCAGGGCAGGATAGAGCCAAAGTGACTTGGAGTTCTGTAGGAAACATGCAGCCCTATGCAGAGCTGAGGGAGGATCTGCTGTGTCCCAGCTGAAGCCCAGTGTGCCTGGCAGAGTGGAGGGGATGCTTGACATCAGAGGCTCTGAAGGGTCTTCCCCTCACCTGTCTAATCCAAGGGCTCCTCTTCCCATGGGCACAGCTTCCCGTTGGCCTCTCTGATCTTACGCTCATCTTCATTGCAGCACCCGGTTCCAAGGCAGGAAGTTTCCTATGCATCTCTGTCTTTTGGCATCTTGGATCAGGAACCGACCTACAGCAACACTGGCCAGCACACCACCCACGTGTCTGGTGGGAGCCACCAGGAGCTCACAGAGTACAGCACCGTCAGGAGGCCTTAGCCCGGACCCCACGCCAGGCCTGTGAGCACCTTCCAGGCTTGTCAGCTTTCTGCCCCTGCTGTCCTCACCAGGACCTCTTCCTGATTGGCCAGCAGTGTCCCCAGCTCCGGACCTAGCCTCAGGGGGCTTCAGGGAGTTAGGGATCTCCCTGGATGCCCCTCCTCTCCCACATAGCTGGGGAGAGGGACTGGGGATGTACCCTGAGGCTGCCATGGGAATAATAAGGATGATAATGATAACAATAATAGTAATTAACCTTTATTTATGGCTTCCTATGTACAGTGGTCTGAATAATGACCTCCAAAGATATCTGTCCTAATGCCCAGAACCTATGAATGTCATCCTTTGTGGCAAAGGGGACTATGCATTTGTATTTAAGTGAATGATTTTGAGAAGTGGAGATTGTTCTGGATGCTAAGGGGACCCCCAAACATAATCACAAGGGTCCTTAGAAGAAGGAGGCAAGAGGATCAAAAGAGAAGGTGATGGATGACGAGAGTGGAGGGTGGAGTGTGGAGACCAGGAGCCAAGGGCGCTGCAGATTCTAGCAGCGGGAGAAGGCAGGGGCGGGCTCTCCCCTGGGCCTTCTGAAGGAATCAGAAAAGAACACCTGACCTGAGCCCAGTGAAACTGATTTTATACTTCTGGCCTCCAGAACCGTAGGAGAATAAATGTGTTGTTTTCAGTAAGCCACTAAATTCGTGGTGATTTGTTACAGCAGCAATGGGAAACTCATACGCAAATTGGCAAGTGCCTCTCTCTAAATGCTTTGCATTTAGTGACCAGTTTAATGCTCACAACCCCTCAGGGGACTTCTATTATTGTCCTCATTTTGCAGAGGAGGAATCAGAGGAATACAGGTTCAGTGACTTGAATCAAGCTTTATGGCTAGTGAGCAGGTGAGTTGGAATTTGAACCCAGGCATTTTTGGCTCCAGAGTCTAGAGTCCTGGCCATGCTTAGTGTGTGTGTGTGTGTGTGTGCACGCAAAGATGTGGGTGTACACACTCACACAGAAGTTCACACAGAGATGGTTAATGAATATTTACAGATACTGGACTTAGTGTCTTGGCAGCCCCCGTCTAGCTCATATCCCAAATTCTTTTATTTTTTGAGACAACATAGGGCAACACTCTACCTATGTCACCCTTGGTAGAGTGCTGTGGTGTCACAGCTGGCAGCAACCTCAAACTCCTGGGTTCAAGTGATTCTCTGGTCTCAGCCTCCCAAGTAGCTGGGACTACAGGCTCCCGCCACAACATGTGGCTATTTTTAGAGATGGGATCTCGCTCTTGCTCAGGCTGGTCTTGAACTCCTGAGCTCAAGCAATCCACCCATCTCGGCCTCTCAAAGTGCTATGATTGCAGGTGTGGGCCACCACACCCTGCCTCATATACTGAATTCTACAGCATCTCATCACCTCTGTGGTTACCAGCCTAGTCCCAACAAGCATCAGTTCCTGCCTGGACTCCCTCTCTCATTCTCTGCCCTGGGTCTGTTCTCATTCCAGCAACCAGAGATCATTTCAAAGCACAAACATGATCAGTCCCTGCTGATGATTTCTTTCCCACAGCCCCCACATGACCCTAGGACCCCATCCCCTCCACTCTCCCTCTCACTTGCTCTGCTCCACCCATACAGGCCTTTCTTCTGTCCTAATTAGAAGAGGGTTGCTCCCTCCGCAGCGCATTGGCACTGGCTGTTTTTCCTGGAATGTTTTCCCCACAGACCTGTGAGTAGTTAGCTTCTTTTTTATCATCACATCTCAGCTCAAATGTCACTCTCCCAGGGCCTTCCCTGACCACCTGAGGGCAGCAACCCCTGCTGCCCACCTCCAATTTCTCCGTCTGTTCCCCTGTGCTACTTCCTTCCTAGCATTTACTCATTTATTTGTTGGTATCTGGGGTTATTGCTTCCCCTTCTTCACTAAGCTGTGTGTTGTCTCATTCACTCCCACATGCCCCATGCCTAGAGTCTGGCACATGGTAGGTTCTTGTAAATTTGCTGGTTGACTCAATGAATAAATAACACAGTTAGTTCAGACTTGGGAACACTGAAAAGGTTCTTAAAGGGCAGAAACCATGGTGCTCATCATTCTGGGAAGGAAGTCTGGGCTGAGTAACCTAAGGAAATTTAGGATTCACTTCCCAGAAGTATGAAATGGAGAGATTTCTGGCTTGGCGCCTGTAGCTCAAGTGGCTAAGGTGCCAGCCACATACATCAGAGCTGGTGGGTTCAAATCCAGCCCGAGCCTGCCAAACATCAATGACAACTACAACCAAAAAATAGCCGGGCATTGTGGTGGGTGCCTGTGGTCCCAGCTACTAAGGGAAGAGAATTGCTTAAGCCCAGGAGTTGGAGGTTGCTATTTGCTGTGATGCCACGGCACTTTACCCAGGGCGACAGTTTGAGGCTCTGTCTCAAAAAAAAAAGAGAAATGGAGAGATTTTCTCCTTTCCTGAAAATCGGGGGGTGGGGAGGGGTCATGACCCCCTCTGGCTGCAGGACAAAGATCTATTGCTTCACTTAAGTTGATTTGGAGGAGGCTGGGGATAGAGGGTCAGGGAGAGGAAGAGGCATCAAGGCTTGGTCAAGCTATGCTTGAGGACCACAGGTCAGTGGCCCAAGGGGTATGGGGACTGTGGACATGTCTGGCAGGCCACTGTCAGTGTTTCCTGGGTTCATCTGGCTTCTCACAGCTATGGACACCCACGTGGACCTGGAACTGGTGATCTTGGTGGGTAGATCCTGCTCCCGTTGCACCAAAGACGATTCCTTGGAATCTCAAAAGCGAGCTTAACCATTCTTGAGCTAATCCTTTAAGCTGGTCAGGTCAGAGTGAGGCTGTTTTTGACACAGCTTGTTTTAAGATTTATAGAGCAAGAAGTGCTTACAGAGAGATCTTGCAATGGAAAAGTATAAGAATTAGAGTGAATCAAAGTATAAGAATAAAGGTCAGAAGGGAAGGCCTGGGGCCAGGGCATCCTCTTACCCTTTCACCTACTGGGCATGAAGTGGCTTTAATTCTGAGTTCATTTTAGGCAGCCAGCACCAAACCGAATGCACAAGTGCATGCTCATGTTGGATGGTGAGGAATTCATCTGTTCTGGAAATGAACGATCACAGATCTTAGCAAAGATTATTGCCATGAAACTTCTGACATAAATGTGGAAACAGCAGACTAGAATTTAGCTCAGTTTGGCTTGGTTGGAGGAGTCTGGCTGCTTCTACATTTATCTGGACAGCAGACAGGGGCCGGAAGTGGAAGGTTGTGTCTTAACTGAGTTGAGTGGTAAATCAGCATAGAAGGACTTATCCACCCTGACCACTTTTAAGTATCTTACTGAAACTTCAAGGAAAAAAAATGTCTACAAGACAGACATATTACTTGGATATAATGTTTTTATCCAAAATTCCAGATATCTGGATTTTAGCTTTTTGTAGCTTTCTAAAAAGGGACTTTTTGTGTCCTCAGAGATGGAGATGGCTGGGTCCTGGCATTCATGAACCAGTCTGGTCAATTCCACAGCTGGGCAGAGCAGGTTCTGACTGGGGGTCTTGGTGGGAAGAGTCTGGGTTCTTTCCATGCTGGGTATTGGCTTCAGGAGTCAGCCTCTAACCCAGTCTGCTTTATTCCAGCCTGAGCTAGGGTTTAGAGCATGCTGGGGAAGTAGCCAGGCCTAGGGGAGGGAGGCGTACATATGCAAGAGGCTTGAGAGGAAATTGTTTCATAATGTCTACAGATTGGTATCTGGGTATTGTCTCAGCCATATCCGGCTGTTCTATAATGACTTAGCTAAGGCTGATTTTGGGTGGCTGGCCAGCACCCTTATTTCAAGAGAGAATTTAGATATGGTTCCTTTGGTTTGAGTGAGGATGGCATTTGCTTCCTGGCTGTATGGTTTCCAGGAAAGCACATTCTGTTGACACAAAGTCCAGGATATTTAAGGACTCAGTTTTGATTGCGTGCCTAGTTATTGATAGCCCATCTAAGGTTTCTGTGACAAAGAAGCAACAGGTCACAGACCCTTTAAATATTAAATTATTTAAAGATTTGACATGATAAAATTATAGGGTTTGGATAGCCTCTTTTTGAGAACTATGTGTATATCATTCGTTTCCAGAAGACAGAGGCTTTCTGAGAGTCAGTTGAGGGAGAAGAAAAATATTGAGCTGGTAAGATACAAGATCAAGATAAATGTTGCATTGAAGTGAGGCTAAAGGCAACCTTTGCTTGACATTTTGGAAAACAAAATTCAAAGCCACTATGCCTTGGAAGGAGCAGACTGCCGACATTGGTTGCATTCATGTACCAGTAATTTTTTAGATTGACGGGACAGATATAGAGATCAGCCTTTTATTTTACCAGGTAGGTAGAATCTTATCCAGTGTCATCAGAATTGGTCATTGGCCAGTTCATTGAAAAAGTTGGCTAAGCCAAGAAATCATTAAAGAGATATACTATATTCTTTCTTTAAGTGTTTTATTTTGACTTGACTTAAAATATGTAAATGTGCATGAATTTTCTAGTATTTTGATATAGAGGCTTTTTATACTCCTACTGAAAGATGGGGGCCCCTCCTTTGCCTGCACAAACTATGCACACATCATATTGTCCTGGCATTCCAGTTCCAGTTTCCTTAACACGGAGCAAGAAATTCTAGACTCTTAGAAAGTATCTGATGGTAAAACCCACCTTCATTTTTCTTTTCCTCCCAATATTACACTTTTCTCACCTGTTCACAATTTGACAGCATTTCCTTTTAATGACAGGCTTTTATAGAATCTTTCCGAAGCATTCAATTCAGTTTTTCAGAAATAGTAGTTCTCTTTTGGTTACACTCTTTTTTCATAGGTCCACGTTCTTTGCTCACATTCTTAACTTCTTAGTTTATGAGTGAATTAATTTGATTATCTCGTTACAGTTAACAAGTTTGGACCCAAACATAGCAGACTCTTGTTAACCAGGCACCGCAATGAGTGAGAACAGGAGTGAGTGGAGTTTCCAGGGAGGAATCCACCAGTCGTGGGTGCTCATCACGTCTCAGGCATGAAGCTGGGACGCTCCACCAAGAGACTGAAGGGTATTGGTTAAGTGAGGGATTGGTTAAGAAAGTTTCTACTAATCCATCTGTCATCACCATAATTTCATAAAAGAAAGGACCTTTGAGCACTCCAAGTCTCAGAATAATAGACAATGTTTCCCAAGAAAGGACTGTTGGTAACTTTATGCCAATATCTATTTATGTTGCCTGTGTGTAATTTGCTACAAATTGATGGTTACTTTGTCAAGGGCTGCTAAAATACTCATGCATGGACTAAGAACGGACATCTACGGATCTGGTTCACACTCTTTTCTTTTTTATTGAGATAGAATCTCTCTCTGTCCCCTCGGGGTAGAGTGCCATGGTATCTTAGCTCACAGCAACCTCAAACTCTTGGGTTCAAGGGCTCCCGCCACAACGCCCAGCTATTTTTTTAGAGACAGGTCTCAGTCTGGCTCAGGTTGATCTCAAACTCCTGACCTCAAGCAATCCTCTCTCCTTGGCCTCCCATAACATGAGGATTATCAGTGACAGCTACCTGCGCCTGGACATTCACACTATTTTCTGACATAAATCTTTTCTATTATGACCTAGCTGATGTAGCCCAGCTTCCCCTTAAGGGCCTCTGGTGGTCCTATTTG